TTAGGGATGCACGCCAAAACTGACTAATTAAAATTCTAAATACAATTCTGGAGGACTACATCATCCACGCACGCACACACACACACAAAACAACCACAGAACTTATATATACTGTATACACGTAGGCACCAAATCAGATTAAGATATTAGACACAAGAAATAAGAGAAATAAAACATGGGACAGAGGAATGGTAGGGAGAGAGGGGGAGGGAGAGGGGGGGAAGGGAGGAGGAAGGGGAGGGGGAGGGAGGGAGGGGGAGGGAGGGAGGGGGAGGGAGAGGGAGGGTGAGAAAGGGGGAGTGACTGAAAGTAAAAAGTTAAAGGAAATAAAGAAACAATTTTTAATTTTATTCTAAACAATATAACTACAGCATATACTAATACTACTAATAATAATAATAGGACACTGATGCTATAAAAACTATAATAGAGTGCTAGCTGTCATTACTAGTTGTTAGGACTCAGTTAGTTAAGGTAACTGGTTTATCACACATTAAATAAGTTGATTATACTAATCCTATTGAGGAGAGTGATGAACACAAAGCGAGACAGTACAACAACCTATTGTGACTGGTAGACTTAGGGAAATTACAATGTGGTTGGAATACAGAAATTGCAATAACATCAGAGGGAATGAGCAAGACCCGTGACGCCCTACAACACATGCACATCTTAATAATAGGCACTGGTGACTTAATCCCTCTTCACATAAAACTTATAAAAACTCATTCTAGGTAGAGAGATGTACAAATGGAACTATGCATATATGAGAAAGGAACTGGAATCAGATGCTGTTTAAGAGCGATGTCACATATCACTTACTAGTACTAGAACCTAAAGTGTGGTCAAAAAAATTTATTAGATATAATTCATAAATGCACATTAATCATTCTCACTTTTAGCTAAATGAGTACATAGCTGGCCTCTACATGTACATGCACGTTCAAGTATTACAATAGGCTCAATCTTTAATAATGTCATAACGATATTTTGACCATAATTAGATAAAACAGAGGTCCAACTCAATTTAAATTGCTACAAAAAAGTCGTTGTGTGTATCAACAGAACTTGTAAAAGAATGACTGACATTTTGAATATGCACTAAATGAAAGATGCTGATTCAGGAAGACCACATTGTACACATGTGTACACAGAATGAGCAAAAGGCCATGCAGGAATATAATGTGATTCTGTTTGTACTTATCTTGGGAGAGAGGCATTCGTTCCAAATAATAATAAGAATATTAGGGAATGTATGGTAATGTATGCTTGAACTGATAGCAGAGTGCAAAGAGGAAATTAATAGAAATGAGGGAGAGGCCTCTATAACCTTTAAGGTCCTTAATTTAGCTACAAGTGCTTGTAAACAATGAATGCTGTGCATGTATTTGGGACATTCACTTGGGAAATGTATTAGAAGATATTTATCAGAACTTAATACTGTTCAATGGTGAAGCTGTTGCTACAGCTGAGCTACTGATGACAGTGTAAGCTAGTAGCTTTAAAAGCAGTACAAGCATCAATGGTGATACTTGCTTTAATAGATTAATTTTCATATTACTTGCAACATATGTGAATACTCAGTAAAATACTCAGTATATTCCAGTATACTGACCTTGCTGTCGTGTTCCTGACGTATTCGTCCATGTTATCAATGTCTGGCCTCATGGTTGATATCATTGTAGCAAGACCAGCAGCTTTAGCAAGATTACTGATGATCTCTCTTCCCTCCACACGAGCATAGTAATCCTCATCGATCAATAGGGGCTCAATGACAACAAGAATCTATATGAAAGAGAGAGAGAGGAAGGGAGGGAGGGAGGAGGGAGGGAGGAGGGAGGGAGGAGAGAGGGGGAGAGAGGGAGGGAGGGAGGAGAGAGGGGGAGAGAGGGAGGGAGGGAGAGAGAGGGGGGGAGGGAGAGAGAGGGGGGAGGGAGAGAGAGGGGGGAGGGAGAGAGAGAGAGAGGGAGAGGGAGAGGGAAAGAGTAGGATGAGAATAAGGAATGGAGAGAGGAAGGGAAGGGAGAGAATTGCAAGTGTGAGAGGAATCAGAAAGGAAGCATAATCCAGTTACCTTGTGGACATAAGGTCTAACAAGATCATCCATTTGTAGAGAACACGATCGATAACTTTGACTAGCAAATGACGCTCCTACAGAACACACAATAACAAAAACATCAAATGCACACACGATCAAATAATACAACAAAAAAGGAATTCCTGAGCACATTATTATTATAACAATAAAGCGTAAGTACATGAAATCAGTGCAGACACATTGCAATACTGTGGAGCCTCTATATAATGGACACTCTGGGAAAAGAGTTTATTTATGTGGAGGTTATTAGGTCAGGATTTCCCACAAGATTTTGGCATAGTGCTCATGCAGCTTCTTGTCAGTGGATTGTCAAGTTGCTCAAAAATCGGGCAAGAGACCCTGTACTATAGTACAGGGAATTTCAACAAAAATCACAAGGAAAGAATTCTCCATTTTTAATTTTTTTACTGATACAGTGTACAGATACATGTCCTTATGCCATTGTATCAACTTTGAGCTGATTTCAATTAAATTTAGATTTTTCATGTTAGTCAAAAATTAGGAAAATGACCAAAGGCCTTTGGTCTTTGGCCAAATTTCATTAAAAATGGCTAGGAGAGTTTTTATAATTTTCTGATACATATTATACATGTTCCAATGTTGTGTATAAAGTTTGAGCTGATTCCAATCAAATTTGTATATTTTATGAATTTTCGAAGTTGCTCCAAATGCCATGTACTGTATTGTAGTGCTTGTCAGCTCATGAAGCTCATGCTGTTTAGCTCACTTAGCATTATGCTTTATGAAAAACCTTGCACTAAGTAAGTGCTGTCTGTTGAATGGAGATGCATGCTATAGAGAGTGTTTGTGAAGAAAGGGTTCAATGTAAAGTGCACAGCAAAGAACAGTAGTGCAACAGGCACCTATGCAGTTATTGTTTTAGTAAAGAACACATTTATTAATACTAGCTCATTGATGAGGAATGACAATAATTGGAACCACAACTGAAAAGTACATGTACATGCAATATGTACTGTAATACATGTACATGTAGGCATAGGAGGAAAGGGAAGGATGAAGGGGCGGATGAAGAGAAGGAAATGATATAGTGGGCGATAGATACAAACCAGAACACATGCTAAAGGTGACCATGTAAGCACTCAAACACGCTAAATCAGATAAACGGATGAGGAAAGATAGTGACCTCATTAGGATTGCGTGAAGGAAAGTCCGCATACATGTACATGTACATGTATAATATCCATAGACTTACAGTGTCAGTACATAGAGAATTAATGTATCATATGTACACACACACACAACAGATACATAATGCAAATGTGTTAGTGTGATCATACAGTAGGGGGATAATGATGACACTGGGAGGTAATGAAATGAGGTTTAGGTGAGGGTCAGTGTAGAAGGACTCTCTGATAAAGTATCATTACGTCATGTAATAGTTCCAAAAAGACGTCAAGGGAATGAAGAGATTAACTTGATTGATTGACTCATGCAGGTGCTAACAGATGACATCAATAACATATAATAGTAGTAGTGATACCACTAATAATAATAATAATAATAATGATAATAATAATACTAGTAATATTAATAATACTAATAATACTAGTAATACTAGTAAAAGTGTACATTGAATCAGTGGTAGTGTCCCAAAGGTAATTGTAGGTAATAAGGTTTTGGTTTAATTGCATATATTCCCCCTAGACCTTTGCTAGTAGAATTAAGTGACAGCACATTAGCATAAAGCATAATGCACATGAATGAATTAGGTAGATCATTTACTCAGAGAAATTTTCTAGGAAGCTGCTGTTGCAATATAATAACTAGCACTATGTAGAATATGATAATAGTAGTGCAATTGATAAAATAATAAACACTAGCCAAAGGTAGACAGACACACACACACACATTCATCAGTAATCCTGGAACCATCTCACATTACAACAACTGATGGACACACACACACACACACACACACACACACACACACACACACACATGTACATGCATGTATATGCATGCAGATACTACTGCATGTACATAAATCTTTATTAAGCTTAGCTTTCACTATTCAATACCACAGAATCACAGGGATATACAACCCAGGCGTCATTAGTTGAAACATTAAAGTTTCAATAATTTGTTTAATCCACGCAGAGCCACCACAACGAAGGCCTAACGAGTACTTTAATTACATGAGGTTGCATTAATTGAGTTCCCTTCGGTGCTCACCCTACTTCCTGAGGGCAATAACAAATACAAATATACCAAAAGTGTCAAGCAAATTGAGTTAACTAGACCCAACAAGCCAGAAGACAGTTTCACACACTCATTATGCAACAAGCACTAATAGGATGATACACAAAAATAAATAATAACCAAATGAACATACACTGCATGTACATGTACATCAATTAATGATATATGACGATTCTCGCGTAATAGTACCTACCATTTACAGACTTGACATGTGTACATGTACAAGTACATATATTAATATCAACAAAGTCACAGGATTGAAGATGTCTTTATCTTGCATTATCATTTTGTCCAAAGGAGGAATGAATCAATGTACTCAAGGGAAAGAACCAGCCTCATATACACTTGATTGTATGTATATAAACAAAAGCAAATGACCAGCATGAATGTACACATGTGACATGACATATCAAGTACAATTAAAACACAATATTATGTACATGAACGTGTAAATGAAGAGTGTATTAGATCTATTCAATACTATATAAATCAAAATTAAATGAACTAATACTTTAAGAAATTACAAAAAAAAATTCTCTCACTTTACATCTCAAATCCATGCATGTACATTACAAAATATAACAATAAGAAATTATAATTAATTAATTACCCTCAAATCAACATTCAACACTATACATACATGTACATATAGAAAGTTCATCATGGAGGTATGTTCTCACACTGCCTGCTGGCATACTTTCCTCCACAAACAGGGAATTAGCGATGAATTAATAGTGTATTAATAGCATCAGAAGACCAAGAAAATGACAACAATGTCATCCTCGACCTCAGCATAACTTCACATGACAGTCTGAGTCGCTCGGTATAGACAGAATCAGAAGAAATGATGAGAAAGTAGAAATATGCAGTTTCATAAACAATGCGAATAAATTAGGAAGGTCAATTGATTAAATGTGTAGCCACATAAAGTCAAATATGAGGCTATAGCCTAAGGGGAAACATTGCTGAGCGAAAACAAGAGCATAGTAATGTGTAAACAGGATTAATGCTATAAATGAATTTATAATATAAACACAAACACGCATACATGATAGTACACAAGATAGAATATCATACTAACACAACCAGAAAATAATATATTTTTATATAAAATGTTGTAAATGAAATGTGTGGTTGTGTGGCTGTGTGCTAGCCACTAGCGTTGATAACGTCAAAGTGTTTCCTCCTAAAACAAAGCAAAGCCACAGACCTTTGAGGAATACACAAAACTAGTCCAATTCCTTCCTCTACTGGTGGACTCTCTCACACCGACCAACACACCAGCCAGGAGGAAACCAATCACACCAACACTAATTACCATATACATAATTAAGATGAGCATTACTGAGTGCAATAATACATTAAAGATTAAAGCTAGAAAATGAATGATGAATGTAGAAATTAACAGCCCCTTTCATATTATGCAGAATCACGCATTAACTTCAGGTGCTATTGAGACAATTAAGGCTATGGACACTAACAATACAATGAAACCATTGTCCATATAATGTCCCATTGTCTATAATGATCGGGCCATTGTCTGTAATGGACCATTGTATAATAATGGGCCATTGCATGCACAGGTGAGGATTCATAATGAGTGCTATATTGCTTGAGGGCAATGAATGTGTAATGTAATAAGAGTGGAAGGAACACCCACTCACACACACACTAGACAGAAACCATCCAAAGCTAGTGTGGTTTGGAGTAGGAGAGTGTTTGAACAGCAAAATTTGGTTTTTAAATTTGAGGCCAGGACTCTCCCAAATTAAAGCAATTCCAGACCTTATTAAACCAATTAAGGACAACAAAGATCTCATGAAGGCTCCTGCAGGGCAATAGAAATGAACTTGAAGCTTTAATAAGAAGTTGAGCTTTGTCAAACCATCCATACCCATGCACCCAAACACCATGTGCAGCCTTGATGTTTGTAATACTGTAATGCAAACACACACACACTCACCCACCAATCCATCAGTATATGTACACACATACATATACACACCTATCCATCTATAGTACACACTAGTGTATCAGTTTACAGTATATGCACACAAACAAGTAACTCAAAGTATCAACTATATGCAAACATATATCATGCATGTATGTAGTCATGTGCACAAAATGAAGGATGCACACGTACATGTAATGTAACAGAATCCATTGTATGTGCTCGCTTAATTTACAATCAACTAAATAATCAACAATAACAATTCAATAAAAGTGTGACATTAATGATATATAAACTCTTATACTCAAGTTCTTTCTTTCTCTCTCTTTCTCTCCAGGCCTCTAGCTATGGATAATCTAATGACCAGAACTCAATTACTGGCTGATAATTAATGAGATAACACAATAAAACCATGAGTACACGTCTACCACAGGTATGTCATGCATGAGCATACATGCATGTACATGTATGCCAATCCATTCCTTAATCCATTTACATGTACACATGCACATGTCCCCATGCTTTATTTCACATGCTATATACATGTATATCACACTATATAATGATACAAAATAAACCATAAGGGTATTGGCTTGCAAGCTTTGTCTACAAAGGCTGTTAGTAGTATTTAGCTAAAACACAAAGATACCATTGATTATCATAACACGTACGCCAACCAAAGAACCCAAATCATAAAACCAAACGGACTGGGATTGTTTTGACTGTGGCCAATTTGATATAGTAACACGATACGACCAGCAAGAGTTCAAGATACCACAAGTTATATATTGTAACTAAACACTGCCAATCATGTACAGTACAAGTACATGGAGTTTATTGTTATTTAAGACTATTAGGTACATGAGAAAAACCACTACAGCATGTCTACATGCTGTGTTTATTACATAAAACAATAAATAATAATACAATTTAGTTCAATCAGTGAGTGCTGTACAGCTACATGCGATCGGTAACTACATATAAATCAAATTGATACGTTAATTCACATCATGAGTACCCGTTTTGGGTAGCTGGTAAATACCCTTGACCACAAGTACAGGTACAAGTACTCCAGAGCAAGCACAATTCAATAATAACCAGAAATGCTTACACGTACAGCTCCAGCTCATGAAATTATTATTAAATAATTGGATTATGTTGTATGGTTATGAATATAGACACAGCAAGAGGATTGCCTGGCAGCAAATGAAAACACGACACGAAACAAAACAAAATAAATTAAAGCAAAAACAGCAAGAGCATATAAACTAATGAGTTATGAGTCCAAGGGAATGGACAGCAATATGAGATAAGTAAAATATAATAATTACATAATTAAAATTAATATTTAATAATGAATGATCTGACACGTAAAAAAGCACCATTTCCTATCTTTACAATTATGACAAAATAGCAAGAAAATGAGTCGCGAGGTATGAAACTATACACGAAGGAATGAAGTAATGTTGATTATCAGCGAGTTCGTCAACTCAAGTTGAATTCCACATAAACCAATAAACAGAAGCCAGGGCGAGGGCCACATGGTTTCTCTATGTACCTCTCTCTCTCTTATATGGATAAAGGAATGATAAAGTGGTACAAGTCTGGATGAACAATTACCTTTAATACGTACCAGATAACACTGAATACCTATCAATGCACGAGACTGTCTGATGGGACAGGAAGCATTCATTATCAGCAAGTCATGGTACACAAGTATCCCCCCATACATGCATTAGGTATGAGAGCAGCACATACGGTAGTGGAGTATTGCCAGTAGGTGTGAGTCTATGAGTCATAATGTTCTATATATAGCAGATACTTATTACCTGAATAATCTCACTGTGTGTGAATACTCCTTTATATGTATGGGGCATGATTAGAAACACAAATGAACATGTACATGTACATGTAAGGGTTTAAAAAGAGCATGTACATTTAGTGTACATTAGCAATAAGTAACATATAACATTGTACTGATCATGATGTGCTGGAAATTAAGGCTTTCAATTGTGACATTAATACTAAGAACTATAATAGATACTATAATATACTTTGGGAGTATGAAAGAGTTCCCATAACAAACATTGCACCATACTTCCAATTCTAGCTTTCGATAATAACAAGAGTAAATGAATATACATGTATACTATATTACTCTTGATAATAATAATAATAATAACAGTAACAAAAACAGCTACACACATGCAATTACACAATACACGTGTATATATATAATCAATCAATCACATGATGGTCATTAGTAAAAGTAATTCCATGTATACTCTGACTCAATACAGGCTAGTACTCGTAAATCTTGGCTCAGACCCATTATTTATACAATATGGCAAGACTATACACATACAGATGGAGGTTACAATGTTCATTAAATCAAAATGTGGTTTAGTGGCTCAAAACTAGCAGATAGCAATTGAGAGGATGTACGTGTACATACCTAGAGATTCAGATTAATCGTGTATGTAGATACTCATCATCATCAAGGCAGCCAGGAATGTGCATGATTCAAGGGAATTGCCTGACAGCACTTGGAAGGACTTGATTATAATAATATTTATTCACTGATGTAATGCAAAAGTTATGTAATCAATACACACCCATTACAAGTACATTAATCAATACACACCCATTACAAGTACATTAATCAATACACACCCATTACAAGTACATTAATCAATACACACCCATTACAAGTACATTAATCAATACACACCCATTACAAGTACATTAATCAATACACACCCATTACAAGTACATTAATCAATACACACCCATTACAAGTACATTAATCATCATCATCATCATTATTAGTAGGAATACATGTGTAGATGCGTGTCACGGGAAGCTGAGGATTAGTATAGGTGAGTGTATACAATGTACATCGTATATGTGGTTTTTTTTAATATGGTAAAAGTTCAATTAGCTTATTAGGAGTTCAAATAGTGGCGTGATGGGTTCAAAGTGAGGCTAATGCTGCCAATACAAACATGATATAAAAAACAATTAGAATTATGTCAATAACGACAGGCACTTTAAATGGTATTTCAAGCCAAAAGTGTGATTGGAATAAACTCAAAAAATGCTACAAACAAGCACATCAAAAATTGTGATAAAAGGAGATGAATTACTTCACAAAATTGATCTAATTATCAGATGTCCATAGCTCAAAAATACATGTAGTTACATGTACCAGAATTTCTAGGCAGGGTTTATAGTGCTCATGCAGCTTCTTGTCAATGAATTGTCAAGTTGCTCAAAAATTGGGCCAAAGACCCTGTACTATATAGCACAGGGAATTTTAACAAAAATCACAAGTCCATTTTTATAATTTTCTTCTGATATGTATACTATGCCCTTATGCTGTGTATCAACTTTGAGCTGATTTCAATAAAATTTTAATTTTCTATAAATTTTTAAAGCTGCTTAAAAAATCCGGCCAACAACCAAAGGCTTTGTCAAAAATTACTAGGAGAAAATTCTCCATTTTAATAATTTTTTTCTGATACATACACATGTCCTTATGCTGTGTATCAACTTTGAGCTGCATTCTGATCAATCTGAATTTTTCAATGGGTTTTAAAGTTGCTCTAAATGCCATATGCACTGCATTATAGTGCTTGTCAGCTCATGAAGCTCATCCTATTAGAATGATTTGTGGGAAATCCTGCTTCTAGATGTGCAATGTAGAATCAAGAAGCTTTTAACGTACGTTTACATGTACACGTATGTACATGTACATACCTGGTCTTCAAGAGTGGGTGACATTAGTAAAGGCAGTATCTGATTGAACAAAGCATCAGCACCAAATTCCCTAGCCCTGTCTGTAATCTTCCTCAGGGCAGACTAAAAAAAATTTTAAATTAAAATTATAAATTCTGAAAATTAAAACTAAAAAAGGCGTATTACAAGTACAATGTAGTACCTTTCTCATCGGAGGGGTCCCGTTCTTAATCTTGAGGAGCATTCTCATGATCTCTCTCTCCTTCTGTTCCTCTGCAGGGAGTGCCTCCTCATCAATGTCCTCCAAGAGTTTACTGTTATAAATTGATGAATGTATTTCTTTTAAAGTGTAAATTATAGACAAACCTGAAATATTGAGTGTCTTCAACTTTCATGAAAGGCATGTTAGCACCGGAGGGCTGGAGGGACTCAACCACTGTCACCTGTCACATTGATAAAATTAAAATATTGTTAGAGCAACATGGAAATATTGACGAGTTATATTTAAAAATTTTGTATTTGGAAAATTTTATAATTACATATACTTTTTATATTTTTTAATATTTTTTATACACTTTTTAAATATTTTTAACAGTTATTTTTACATTTTACAATGTAAATTTCACACTAAGAATAAACCAAAATGGCAAATAAAAAATATATCAATAAATAAAAAAATATATAAATCCTTATTATTAAAAAAAAAAAATAATAATAATAATAAATAATCATAAATCAAGCAACAATAAAATTATTAACAATTCACAATACAACAGGTTAGAAATATACAGGAATATACGAAAAATATACTGACTTTATTTTCCTCCACTTGAAAATGAAATCCACTCATGCCCATTGGAGTGGGAGTGGCAGTCAGTTTACGAGCCGGTGTACGGATAGGCTGGTACCCAGAGGGAGGGGCCAATATCTTGTATCCTTCCTGAGGGAAGAGAATATCCAGTTCATCGTCAGAGAGTGGGCGGTTCCGCTCATCAAGCTCTTTCTCCCATCGCCAGGCCTGGACCTGCTCTGGAGTCATTGAACTTAATTGAGCTAAAGAATGGAAAGAGAAAGAAGGGGAGAAGATTGAGGGTTTAGAACATAATAATGAATTTAGCTCCTTTTTGAAGTCGGAATGAGTTCAAACTATATCTACAGGACACCAATATGTACATGTATGTTTAATAAAATTGGGGCTTATTTAGGAGATATTTTTCGGAAAAAAACCATGGGCTATAGTACAGGGTATTTTTCAAAAATTGGCTCATTTTTAAAAAGGCTATAACTTAAGAATTTTGAGTCGGAATCAGCTGAAACTTTCTACATAGCATAAGGACATCAATATGTATCAAAAAATGTAATAAAAATTGAGGGTGATTTTGGAGCCATTTTTCAGAAAAAACCATGGGCTATAGTACAGGGTACTTTTCAGAAATTGGATCATTTTTTTTAAATGACCATAACTTAAAAAATTTGAGTCGGAATCAGTTCAAACTTTCTACATAGCATAAGGACATCAATATGCATCAGAAAATATAATAAAAATTGGGGGTGATTTCGGAGCCATTTTTCTGAAAAAACCATGGGCTATAGTACAGGGTATTTTTCAGAAATTAGCTCATTTTTTAAAATGACCATAACTTTAAAAATTTGAGTCGGAATCAGTTCAAACTTTCTACATAGCATAAGGACATCAATATGTATCAGAAAATATAATAAAAATTGGGGGTGATTTTGGAGCCATTTTTCTGAAAAAACCATGGGCTATAATAGTACAGGGTATTTTTCAGAAATTAGCTCATTTTTTTAAAATGGCCATAACTTAAAAAAATTTGAGTCGGAATCAGTTCAAACTTTCTACATAGCATAAGGACATCAATATGCATCAGAAAATATAATAAAAATTGGGGGTGATTTCGGAGCCATTTTTCATAAAAAAACCATGGCCTAAAACTTTGCTTCTTTCAAAAAAACTCATTCATTTTTTTGTGACTTTTTAAACCACAAAAATATCTGACTATGGAAATGTATGTAAATGTAATGATGTACATGTACATGTAACATCTCTCCCTCACCAGCTGATGGTGTCTGCATTCCCATAGCCATCATTCCAGCCGGAGTTTTCCCTGAAAAATTAGGAGTTGCTCCCATCACAGAGGGCGTGGTCATCTGAGGTGTGACCCCACCCCCTTGACGCTGGCTGACTGGTGTCTCGTCCCAGCGTGACCTCCTCTTGCTGCTACTGGGCGTGTCCAGAATACCCCCGCCCCCTGATCTATCGGCACGAGGAGTCTCGCCCCAACCAGAAGTGCCCCCACGTCCAGGGGTCTCACTACCATCGGCACGAGGGGTTTCCCCCCAGCGAGGGGTTTCACCCCATCGACTCCGCCTTCCTGGAGTAGCTAAAAAAATTAATAAAAAATAAATAATATTTTTGTCTTTCTCATTCTTTACATTCATTATTTCTGCAAATTACATGTACATGCATACTGTAAAGGTCTTTAATAATAATAACAATAATAATAATATTAAATAATTATTTTTTACCAGGAGTGGTGGATCCAGCAGCAGGGGTGTAACTGGGTGTGGCGTCCCACATGCGAGTGGAAGGTGTTGCTCCAGGTGTTTCACTCCCCTTCAATTGCCCCGGGGTCTCGTCCCAGCGAGACTGAGAGGGTGTGGTCTCCTGGTCCCAGGCCGACTTCTTGCTAGACTGATCCTCCTCCGTTGATTGCTTGTCCCACCGTCTCTTCCTACTAGTAGAGGCAGCTGCTGGTAATGTACCACTCTCTTTCATTTCAGCAATCTTCCCTCTCACTTGAAACTAAAGAATACACAAGTGATTAGGGAATAAAGAGAAAAATAACTGTATTAATAGCAAGAAATTATTATTATTTAATAAGCAGGTAGACATTGTGTATGCAACAATCACAATTGTACTTCTTTGATGCAATTATACCGTATAGCAGGAAATTTTAGAGTTCAATTTGGTGAATTTTAATTTGGAAAATTTTTGGCCAGCATGCGCATAGTGGCTCAAAATGTCAAATTTCATTTTGGCGAATGGCTATAATTTACTAAATTAACTCCCTCAAAAAAAATTTCCTGCTATACGGTAATAATATTAAATCATCTCTATCTCTCTCTCTCTCTCACCTCTTGTTTCTTTAATGATTGTTCTCTCATGACATCAGTGTATGTCCTAGCTTTTGGGTCTGGAGTTTTTCCCCCTGTGAGGAGAAAAAGAGAGAAAGAACCCCAAGTTAACACTGAACAGGAATATAATCAAAAAATAGGCCAAGCAGTAAATAAACAATGCGACATTGAGATGAGGTCATTGTTCAAAATTGCAGCCAATAAATAATAATAATAATAAATAATAAAATAATAATAATATTAATGATGATGACAAATTAATTATTATGATGTAATTTATTCCAGGATCATCTGGTTGGTGGGTATAGTAGGTACGTGGCTTAAAAGAGGAGACCCTAAGAAAAAAAGTACAATAATTGGGTGCATGGATTGATCAAACAGCTTGCTAGATCTTTTACTAGTGAGGACCGATTCACTGTTGCTCCTTAACATTTCTGGAGGTTCTGGATATAATGATGAGACCATTACATAGTTGCAAAGTACATGTACATAAAATGATATTTGACTGATTTAAGTGAAGTGCTACTACTTGGTTTGATTACACAAGAAACAAAATGGACACAGGCTTGTCGTACTGTACCAGTATAAAATTAAAAACCTATTGAGTCCTTTTAAGGTCCCAGCCACGAGCTGATTGAGAGAGACAGCTAGAGCACTCCTGATTTATCTTAGCCAAATAAAAAAGAGAAAAACACCCACCCCACCCAAATATACATGTACCTTATGCATCTCACACTCAGGAGTGTTCTCACTGAAATTTTATTACTTTTTACATAAACAATCATCAAGTACATGCACGTCTATAATATATACATGTAACGTACAGAAATCCTATTTAAATAGATCTGAAAATAAGCAAGTGGGTGATTTTTAATTTTTATATGAGGATAAGAATGAGAACACAACTGACATTCACACTCAAATTACTAGTTCACAAGGATATACATGTAGATTTATAATAATAATTAAACCCCATTTGTCAATGGAGCAGTTGGTACATGTACATGTAGGCGTGGTTTTTTAATTAATTAATTGTGAACTAGTAAACGCTCGTACATGGAACATGTTGTGTGGCTTACAAAATGAGATGAAAAGTGCCTAACTACACAAGATGAAAGGTAAGAGACAGACCACACCCACAAACCAAGAAATCCGGAACCGAGAGTAAAATCAATGAAAAGTTAATTTGTAACCTCATTAATATTCATCAACAATCAATTAATTATTTGAGTAAGTGATGAATATTAATGAGGAGTCACATTAATGTCATTATAGCTTACCTCTTTAACAAAGAACAATACACTGATCAAGCAATAAAATATAAACTATCATTATTATTAATATTTTAATGAACAGCTGTTTCTTCTGATTAGGAAACTGACCTTCAAGAAAAGGGTCTGGTCTGGCCGGGGATATGATCATGTGACGCATCTGTCTCATGTGGTACTCATCATGGCGGTCGTATATCTTCTTCTTCTGATAATCTTTCATTGGATCATACGACTACAGACACATGTACAAGTACATTGTATAAAGAATTCAAAAACAGCAATAAAAGTAGGTAATTTTATAATTTTTTCAATCAAATACACATGCATATATATCATAATTATTATATTTTTTCAGTAGAGCTAATCTACAATTTATAAATAGTGTACCGTATACTGGGATATTTTTGCATCACTAAATTTTCGCGAATTTTGCATTTGTAAGATTTCACGAAATAATATGTAAACTCCACCACGTGGCAATGGAAATTTAGAATTTCACAATTTTTATTTTCACGACGGAGCAAAAAATGCGAAATTCGCGAAAATTTGGCTACTCAAAAATTTCCCAGTATCGGTATTCAATGGCATTACTTTTCTTAAACTTTCTAGATACTACTGTACATGTAGGTATACATTAATATGTGTTTCGTCTTACATAATCTTCTCCAGCTGTAGCAGCTTCTTGGATGAGGTCTTCAGTAGCATGATACTGTGTGTGGGCTGGAGTAGTGCCAGAATCATCTTCATCCTGTGAACAAACACAATTTAATGTATAACTGCTACTGAAACATGTAACACCAATAATAAAATACATGTACATTAACTCCATCTATTATATAGATTTGTTCTCACTTCTCTCCCTCTCAGGGTTTCCCACACAACTTCAGCATACGTACATTACATAGTGCTCATGGAGGTTCTTGTCAGTTTAAAAATACTACATGTACAGGGTATTTTTTCAAAAATCGATAAAAAAGAATTTTCCATTTTAAAACTTTTTCTAGTACATATATTTTTGAAGTTGCTCAAAAATTGGGCCAAAGTCTCTGTACTATAGTACAGGGACTTTGGCCAAATTTCACCAAAAATGTCTAGGAGAGAAATCTCCCTTTTTATAATTTTTTCTGATAAATATACATGTTCTTATGTTACATTGAAAGTTTAAAATGATTCCAATCAAAATTGAATTTTTTATAAATTTTTAAAGTTACTCAAAAATCAGGCCAAAGTCCCTGTACAGTGTCTTTTGCCAAATTTGGTAAAAAATAAAAAGGAGAGAATTCTCCATTTTTATAATTTTTCTAATGCATATACATGTTCTTATTTTATGAAGTAAGTTTGAACTGGTTCTGATCACAAACTGATTCCTTTACAATTTTTTAAGTTGCTCCAAAAGCCATGTACATGTACTGTAGTGCTTGTCAGCTCATGAAACATGCTGTTTAGCTCACTTAGTATACTGCTTTGTGATAACCCTGCTCCCTCTCTCTATCTTACCTCATCATCATTGGTGCCAATTGAAGTCACAAATCCCTCGTACTTGCTCCCAGCTGGTGCATATAAGTCCTTGTCGAAATGTCCTTGAGAACCAAAACCAATCTACAGGACAATTAATACATCATATTACACAGTACACTAGTACTAGTACATGTACATGCATGTACCAACGTTTCCTTTCCCTCACCTTGCTGCTTTGCTGCTGGCCATTCAGCTCTTGTTCAATCCTCTGTCTCTTGGCTTGGAACCTTTCAATCTCTTGATCTATTTCTAATTAATGCACACCACAAAACACCACCCAAAAGTGAGACAAGAAGTATGCTCCGCTTACCTTCGTGAGTGACAGGAATAGACATTGTTTAAGAGGTAAGTTTCAGAGAAGGAATGAAGAAGATAAAGGAGAAGAAAAGTTACAAAAGAGGTTTGATTTCGTTTGATTTCAACGTGGGTCAGTCGTATCTCCGTAAATTTAACCCACCCAAACTAATTTCCGTATACTATAATTACATAATTACCTGCAGACCACGCCTACCTCATGTAATTAATATTCATTGATGCATCCTTTCATCTTGCTGCAATTGCAATTATGTAGCTTACGCAAATGCGCCCAGTCCAGTTATTTACAATAGAATTTGCTGACTCGGTCACTGCTTCGAAGAAGAAATTCATCACTGATGGCTCACCATACTTTTTTTGGTGAATTTTCTTGTGAATGTGGGCAATCTTGGAAAAGTGAGAACACTTATCCTGATAAGAAACAGATATGTTTTACATGCAAGACTTGGATTTTCCCTAAATATCTGGTAGGTATATGATATATCTGTTTTGTAACCATAATCTGCACTGCGCTTTATTTTTACAGCGACCAAGTGAGTCAATAAAGAAACAGGATAGCTAAGTCACTGAAATGATAAAAATGCATCTTTTCCTTTTTTATATTATAGAGACACCATATCAAGGCCGCTACCGGGCATATGGCTGGTTTTATTGCAGTGATTGTGATAATGAATGGACTAGCCACAATTCATGGGCCAACATGGGGCAAGTGTGTTATTCTTGTGATGACTTGATATATCCCTACAGACAAGTAGAAAAAATATCACAAGATTTAAAAGTATTACTCTGGCTCTCTTTATTTATAGGTGAGGCCGAAATGTGGAAAGGGAAATCCAAAAACCCCTCACTTCAGAAAGTATTGTGAAATGTGTTGGTATTTAAAGAAAAATTGCAAAAATTATAATCCTGTAAGTGACATAGGCACATGCAATGGTCAACAACTCAGTATAATATATATGTATTGTTGGCTATGCACTCGGTTATTGTAAACATTGTTACATAGGATGCTGATACTGATACTGATACTGATACTGATAGTGATGACCATGCAAGTGATTACAATGATGATGATCGTTATTATTAAGAAAAATAATGATGTTTTTATGGTCACAATTTATTTTTTATTATTGTCTCAAAGAACTGCCATTGAATTTTGCTACGCTGAAATTTTTGTGAATATATGTAATGTAACTGCAATTCATATACATGGATTGCATTTTTTAATAATTTTTATGTTGTACAACTTTTCTGTTAATAGTGGCTATGAATTTGCTTATTCCAAATGTTATATTATGTAGAGTGTAGTCACACCTCACACATGCAGGAGCATCCAATGAATAATAGATCAAGTATATCCTAATAAATATCATTATCTTATCACTTCCTTTGCCTGGAGCCCTTTTAATTAATATAAACTGCAGCTGCATAGTCATTCCACTGTCAGTCCTGAGTCCTCTGTCTGTCTTGTGCAGAATATTTTTTCTGATGCAGTGAACATGTCTTCCCAGAGTAAGTTATACCAGATATGCTTTTACATAATGGTGATGGTGTTACTATTGTACACACAGAGACACCTTATCAAGGATCCAAGAGAGTGTTTGGTGATTTTCGCTGCTCAAAGTGCAATCGTACATGGAGCAGTGGTAATTCATGGGCAAACATGGGGCAAAAGTGTAAAGAATGTGACATCATGATTTACCCCTACCAACAGGTAAGAAAACCATGATAGTTCTTTATTTTAGTCTTATTTTATAAACAAAGCGTCCTCTTCATAAAAAACATGATTATGATGAAGATGAAGAAGACTATTTGTATGATTCTGGTGCTCCCCACCTCTCCCATCTTTGTGAGAAATGCAAGAAGCTTGGATACAACTGTCGAGGTCGAGGATCCAAAGCTTTTTATTAAATTGTATGGGACAAAGCTTTGTTTAATTGTATATGAGTAGCAAGAGACCAAGAGTAATAGCAGTATTGTCATTTTCCTGTTGTGTATTGTATATTGTAACATAATGGTATGTTTTTGCAATATCATTGTTAAGTTATGAAATTTATAAATATTCACTACTGGGACTATCCCTCAGTTTATCCCCCTAATAATGATAATGAATAATAATAAGATAAAATGATTGTGCAGTGAGTGCCCACAAACTCATTGTATAGTAATGTATACCAACAAATAAGCTGGGACTACCCCCAAAAATGTACCACCTCATTCATTGCCTCCTCTTAAGTCTTAACATTAAATTGTATAAAATATATGAATTCTTAGATTTTTATTACCACTATTGCATAATAAGTACTCAAACTTGATATGCACGATATATAGTCGGCATGCTTATATATAGCATAAACTCTTTAAATATCATTAAATTGAACTTGTCCCAACTTGTCTATAAATGTGCAGTAAGTGTAACTATGCTCAGCGTTGTAATGATGGATAGCATATGAATTCTTGTTGCTGAATGCTGACATTTCTGAGGAACATCTCTTGTAGTAGAATATCAACTTTTAAGTATAGTCACAGCTTATATGTACCTCATGAATAGAGTAATAGACTGCAATGAATATGATTACCCAGTATCATGACTAACCTCTTTCCTTGGAACTATCCTCTTTAAAAATCAGCTGCAAAGTCATTTTACTGTCAGTCTTCAGTCACCCAGTCTAAGTCTGATTTTCTCTTTACACTGAATAACTCTTTTCATTGAATGTAGACAGTTATGGCTACGCCAGTAGATCCAAATGACCGTCCTCTTGTAAGTTGCATTGATTATTGGTTACTCTGAATACAGATTAACTTCTATCATCTCTTCTTCTTTCTCTCAGTTATTCATTGCCAAATACAAGTGTGATAAATGTGGTCACAAATGGAAAGTCAAGAGGACAAATGGTGGCAGGAAGAGGTGTCCAATAGATTCTAGTCATAGTATTTTGCCTGTACTACCTACCATACAAGAAGATTGTAAGAGACTGACCAGCCTCTAATTATTGTGACCTTTTTACCATAGCCTATCAATAAACTGGTTGTTTACAAATGTTTACAATGTTCAAGAGAAATAAAAGAGACACGCTGCAAAAAAGAAGTTAACCAAGTTCCTTACTGTAGAGTTTGTAACTGTGACATGATATTGGTTTCTTGCAAAGTAAACTCTCTATGATCAAAGTAGGCTGTAATTCACTTTTTTCCTAGAATTTAAAACCTGTAAAAAGGATGTTTGGAGAATTTTGTTGTGAGAAATGTGGACGAGAATGGAAAAGTGGCAATGCATGGGAGGGCAAAGGCCAAGAATGTAATAAATGCAATAAGATGATTTATCCATTTGAACTCAGTCCTTTGAAGCCACCAGAATTTCCTTATGAGCATAGGGATCCACATGATCAAAACCGCTGTGAAATGTGCAAGGAACTTGGTAGAAATTGCAGGGGCCTTAGTTCATATGCAGAAAATCTAGCTAGTAGTGAAGAGCTACCACCAGAAGAGGATGAAGATAATTTGAGCGTCATTACGGACACATCCAGTGCTCTGAGTAGTGTGAGGGATAGATCTTTCTCACCAGAAGATGACTTAAATGACGATGACCTAGAAGACAATTTAAATGGTGATGACCAAGAAGATTATTTAAATGATGATGACCAAGAAGATGATTTAAACAATGATGACCTATCTCCTGGCGATGGTGATTTGACCCCTACTGAACATGATCCTGGTCCGGATGATATTGGTGCAAAAGCTGCTGAAGAACTTGCCAAGCTGTCGTTTAACAATAGAAAGAAGTAATCATAGCTGAAGAATAATAAACTAAATGAATTAGTCATTGATAATGTACTCTTGTCTCTTGAAAATGTCTATATAGTATTGTTTTACTTTACATTTAATTTGCTTTATATACACTATTACTATATCAATGGTTTCTTGCAGTTTATAGTATATAGCATATGACACATGATGATTGACCTTCATTGTGAGATTGGGAGTGGTTGTCAGCTCATCCTGACATATGTGTGTGTTACGTGTGGTGTGTTTGTGTACCAATAAGACAGTAGTATAATAGTCAACTACTTGTTACTTAATTGTATTCCATAATAATTCCTGGTAGATAGAATACAGAGAATATGTCCTCTCAGAGTAAGTTATAGGTATAGTGTACATAAAGTATGCTTACTAAGAACATTTTACACACAGAGACACCTTATCAAGGGCCAGGTTAAGTGTTTGTATGCAAAATTTAAATTTTCCCTATATCAGTTAGATACATGTCATATATATTAATTTTGGATCTATAATCTGCATTGTGTTTCATGCAGTGACCATTAAGGAATGACAGGATAAGTCACTGATAATAATACATCTTTTCCTTGATTATAGAGGCATCATATCAAGGCCGCTACCAGGCATATGGTTGGTTTTATTGCAGTAATTGTGGCAAAGAATGGACTAGATACAATACATGGGCCAACATGAGACAAGTGTGTTATTCTTGTCACCTTTTGACGTCTTGATATATCCCTACAGACAATTAGAAAACTATCACAAGATTTAAAATTATTACTCTTTATTTATAGGTGAAGCTGAAGCGTGGGAAGGGAAACCCAAATACCCATCACTCTGAAAAGTATTGTGAAAAGTGTTCACCTTTTAAAATACAATTGAAAAGATTATAATCCTGTAAGTGACATAGGCACATGCAATGGTCAGCATATGCACTGTTGGCTTCTTTGTGCTATGCATTCAGCCATTCTTATATAGGATACCGATACTGATACTGATACTGATAGTGATGACCATGCAAGTGATTACAATGATGATGATTGTTATTATTAAGAAAAATAATGATGTTTTTATGGTCATTATTTAGAACAACTTTTGTTTCAAAGTTTATTACGCTGAAATTATTTTTTGTGAATACATGTAACATGTAACTCTATGGATTGCATTTTTTAATTATTTTTATTTTTCATGACTTTTCTGTTTACTGGCTATGAATTTGTTTACTCCAACTGTTATGTAGTCACACCTCAAACATGCAGGAACATGCAATGAATAATAGATCAGCATTGCCTAATAAATATCATCATACAATAACTTCCTCTCCCTGGAACTCTTTAAATATCAGCTGCATAGTCATTCTACTGTCAGTCTTCTGTTTGTTTTGTGCAAAATAATTTTTCTGATACAGTGAACATGTCTTCCCAAAGTAAGTTATATTAGATATGCTTTTTACATAATGATAATACGGTATATATTGTACACACATGTACAGAGACACCTTATCAAGGACCCGATAGAGTGTTTGGTGATTTTCGTTGCTCAAAGTGCAATCGTACATGGAGCAGTGGTAATTCATGGGCAAACATGGGACAAAAGTGTTTGAAATGTGACATCATGATTTACCCCTACCAACAGGTAAAAAAAGCATGATAGTTCTACATTTTAGTCTCATTTTATACACAAAGCGTCCTCTTCTTAAAAAAGAAGATTATGACGAAGATGAAGAAGACTACTTGTATGATTCTGGTGCTCCCCACCTCTCCCATCTTTGTGAGAAATGCAAGAAGCTTGGATACAACTGTCGGGGATCCAGAGCTTTTTATTAACTTAACATTATATGTGACAAAACTTTGTTTGTTGTATTTGAGTAGCAAGAGCAATATATAGCAGTATATAATTTGTCTATCCCTATTGTGTATTGTGGATTGTGTAATTCATGATTTTGCAATGTCATTGTGATGTTATGAGATTTATCAAGTATAAGTATACAATGTATAGATTTGTATCAAATAACACTACTGGGACTATCCCTCAGTTAGTCCCCCTAACAATTAATAATTATAAGATAGAATGATTGTGCTAACAAAATTTACTGTATGCCAACAAATAAGCTGGTAGTCCCCCCAAAAATGCACCACCTCATTCCTTAACATTAAAATTGACACTAGAGATGAATGGATGGTGTCGATATTGTTAAATTAAACCTGTTATATATAAAGTGTAACTACACTCAGCTATAATGGTAAATATCATATTGCTGACATTTCTTAGGAACATCCCTTGTAGTAGAACATAAACTTTTATGTATAGTCACACCTGTGCCTATGCACCTCATGAATAGACTAATAACTGCAATGAATATCATTACCCAGTATCATAACTAACCTCCTTCCTTGGAACTATCCTCTTTAAATGTTAGTAGCAAAGTCATTCTACTGTCAGTCTTCAGTCATCCAGTCTAAGTCTGACTTGCTCTTTAATCTGAATAGGCTGAATAGCTCTTTTCACTGAATGTAGACAGTTATGGCTACGCCAGTAGGTTATTCAGATCCAAGTGACCGTCCTCTTGTAAGTTGCATTGATTATTGATTCCTTTGAATACAGATTGACTTCTATCCCTTATCTCTTCTTCTTTCTCTCAGTTATTCATTGCCAAGTACAAGTGTGATAAATGTGGTCACAAATGGAAAGTCAAGAGGACAAATGGTGGCAGGAAGAGGTGTCCAATAGATTCTAGTCATAGTATTTTGCCTGTACTACCATACAAGAAGATTGTAAGAGACTGACCAGCCTCTAATTATTGTGACCTTTTTACCATAGCCTATCAATAAACTGGTTGTTTACAAGTGTCTACAATGTTCAAGAGAAATAAAAGAGACACGCTGCAAAAAAGAAGTCAACCAAGTTCCTTACTGTAGAGTTTGTAACTGTGACATGATATTGGTTTCTTGCAAGGTAAACTCTCACAAATTTTAAATCACAATAAAGTAACATTATCTATCCTTTTATTAGGATATAAAAGCTGTAAAGAGAATGTTTGGAGAATTTTTTTGCAAGGAATGCCAACGAGGTTGGAAGAGTGGCAATGCATGGGAAGGGAAAGGCCAAGAATGTAATAAATGCAATAGACTGGTCTACCCATCGACACTCTGTCCTTTGAGACCACCAAAATTTACTCCTGAACATAGAGAACCACATGACCAAAGCCGCTGTGAAATGTGCAAGGAACTTGGTACGAATTGCAGGACCTTTGATTCATATGCCGGCAATGTAGCTAGTACTGAAGAGCTACCACATGAAGAGGATGAAGATAATTTGAGTGTCATTACAGACACATCTAGTGCTCTGAGTAGTGTGAGGGATAGATCATTCTCACCAGAAGATGATTTGAATGACGACGACCTATCTCCTGGCGATGGTGATCTGACCCCTACTGAACATGATCCTGGTCAAGATGATATTGTTACAAAAGCTGCAGAAGAACTTGACAAGCTGTCATTCAATGATCATGATGGAAAGAAGTAATCATAGCTGAAAAATAATAAACTAAATGAATTAGTCATTGATAATGTACTCTTGTCTCTTGATAATGTCTATATAGTATTGTTTTGCTTTACATTTAATTTGCTTTATATACACTATTATTATCATTGGTTTTATTGCAGTTTATCATATGACACATGATGATTGACCTTCATTGTGAGATTGGGAGTGGTTGTCAGCTCATCCTGACGTATGTGTGTGTTACGTGTGGTGTGTTTGTGTACTAATAGTGACAGTAGTATAATAGTCAACTACTTGTTACTTAATTGTATTCCATAATAATTCCTGGTAGTTAGAATACAGTGAATATGTCCTCTCAGAGTAAGTTATAGGTATAGTGTACATAAAGTGTGCTTACTAAGAACATTTTACACACAGAGACACCTTATCAAGGGCCAGGTTAAGTGTTTGTATGCAAAATTTAAATTTTCCCTATATCAGTTAGATACATGTCATATATATTAATTTTGGATCTATAATCTGCATTGTGTTTCATGCAGTGACCATTAAGGAGTGACAGGATAAGTCACTGATAATAAAACATCTTTTCCTTGATTATAGAGGCATCATATCAAGACCGCTACCAGGCATATGGTTGGTTTTATTGCAGTAATTGTGGCAAAGAATAGACTAGCTACAATACATGGGCCAACATGAGACAAGTGTGTTATTCTTGTCATCTTGTGGCATCTTTGATATACCCCTACAGACAATTAGAAAACTATCACAAGATTTAAAATTATTACTCTTTACTTATAGGTGAAGCTGAAGCGTGGGAAGGGAAATCCAAATACCCATCACTCTGAAAAGTATTGTAAAAAGTGTTCACCTTTTAAAATACAATTGAAAAGATTATAATCCTGTAAGTGACATAGGCACATGCAATTAATGGTCAACAACTCAGTATATTATGTATTGTTGGCTTCTTTATGCTATGCATTCAGTTATTGTAAACATTCTTATATAGGATGCTGATACTGATACTGATACTGATACTGATAGTGATGACCATGCAAGTGATTACAGTGATGATGATCGTTATTATTAAGAAAAATAATGATGTTTTTATGGTCACAATTTATTTTTAATCATTGTCTCGAAGAACTACAATAGATTTTTGTCAGACTGAAATTTATTTTTGTGAATACATGTATTATGTAACTACAATCCATATGCATGGTTGTGTTTTTAAATATTTTTTTTATTTTTTATGGCTTTTTAGCTATGAATTTGCTCACTCCAACTGTTATGTAGTCATACTTCACACATGCAGGAACAATGCAATGAATAATAGATCAAGTATATCCTAATAAATATTATTATCTAATAACTTCCTCTCCCTGGAACTTTTAAATAAAATCAGCTGCAGCTGCAGCTGCATAGTCATTCTACTGTCAGTCCTCTGTCTGTCTTGTGCAAAATAGTTTTTCTGATACAGTGAACATGTCTTCCCAGAGTAAGTTATACTAGAGATATGCTTTTACATAATGGTGATGGTATATATTGTACACACAGAGACACCTTATCAAGGACCGGATAGAGTGTTTGGTGATTTTCGTTGTTGGAAGTGCAATCGTACATGGAGCAGTGGTAATTCATGGGCAAACATGGGACAAAAGTGTTTGAAATGTGACATCATGATTTATCCCTACCAACAGGTAAGGAAACAATGATTGTTTTTTATTTTAGTCTCATTTTATGCAACACAAAGCGTCCTCTTCTTAAAAAACAAGATTATGATGAAGATGAAGAAGAAGACTATTTGTATGATTCTGGTGCTCCTCACCTCTCCGATCTTTGTGAGAAATGCAAGGAGCTTGGATACAACTGTCGAGAATCATATTAAATTGTATGCATGGGACAAAACTTTGTTTATTGTATATGAGTAGCAAGAGACCAAGAGTAATAGCAGTATTGTCATTTGTCTATCCCTATTTGTGTACTGTGTATTGTGTATTGTAACACATGCTTTTGCAATGTCATTGTTATGTTATGAAATTGATAAATATACAATATGTGGATTTGTGTCAAATAACTACTGGGACTATCCCTCGGTTTATCCCCCTAATAATGATAATGAATAATAATAAGATAGAATGATTGTGCAGAATGAGTGCCCACAAACTCATTGTATAGTAATGTATACCATCAAATAAGCTGGGACCACCCCAAAAATGGAAATTACTGTCCACCTCATATTGCCTCCTCCTTAACAATAAATTGTATAAAATATACATTGGAAATGAATTCTTAGATTTTTATAATCACTATTGCATAATAAATACTCAAACTTGATATACACAATATTTAGTCAGCATGCATATATATAGAGCATAAACTCTTTAAGTGTTATATCATTAAATTGAACTTGTCCCAACTTGTCTATAAATGTGTAGTAAGTGTAACTATGCTCAGCTATAATGATGAATATCATATGAAATTATTCTTGTTGCTGACATTTCTTAGGAACATTTCTTGCAGTAGAACATAAACTTACAAGTATAATCACACCTGTACCTATGTACCTCATGAATAGAGTAATAGACTGCTATGAATATCATTACCCAGTATCATGACTAACCTCCTTCCTTGGAACTATCCTCTTTAAATATCAGCTGCAAAGTCATTCTACTGCCAGTCTTCAGTCACCCGGTCTAAGTCTGATTGTCTCTTTACACTGAATAGCTCTTTTCATTGAATGCCAGTTATGGCTACGCCTGGAGGTTATTCAAATCCAAATGATCGTCCTCTTGTAAGTTGCATTGATTATTGATTCCTTTGAATACAGATTGACTTCTATCCCTTATCTCTTCTTCCTCCTCTCAGTTATTCATTGCCAAGTACAAGTGTGAGAAATGTGGTCACAAATGGAAAGTCAAAAAGACATCTGGTGGTGAAAAGAGCTGCCCGATAGATTCTTGCCATAGCTACTTGCCTGTATCACCATACAAAATGATTGTAAGATTCTGACCAGCCTCTGTTCATTGTGATCTTTGTACTATAGCCTATCAATAAACTGGTTGTTTACAAATGCCCAAAGTGTTTAACCGAAAAAAGAGAGAAACGGTGCGAGAAAGAAGTTCGTGAAGTTCCTTACTGTAGAGTTTGTAGCTGTAACATGGAATTGGTTTCTTGCAAGGTAAGCTCTTGCTAATTTTATAATCACAATTAAGTACTTAACTGTACTTTTGTTTAGGATATTAAAGTTTTAAAAAGAAAATTTGGAGAATTCTTTTGCAAGAAATGCCTACGAGGCTGGAAGAGTGGCAATGCATGGGAAGGCAAAGGCCAAGAATGCAAACAATGTGATAGACTGGTCTATCCATCGACACTCCGTCCTTTGAGACCACCACAATTTACTACTGAGCGTAGAGAGCCACATGACCAAAGCCGCTGTGAAATGTGCAAGAAACTTGGCGAAAATTGCAAGACTCTTGATTCATATGCCGGCAATGTAGCTAGTAGTGACGAGCTACCGCCAGAAGAAGATGAAGATGATTTGAGTGTCATTACAGACACATCCAGTGCTTTGAGTAGTGTGAGGGATAGATCATTCTCACCAGAAGATGATTTGAATGACGACAACCTATCTCCTGGTGATGGTGATCTGACCCCTACTGAAGATGATCCTGGTCAAGATGATATCGTTACAAAAGCTGCTGAAGAACTTGCCAAGCTGTCGTTTAACAATAGAAAGAAGTAATCAGCTAAAGAATATAAACTAAATGAATTAGTCATTGATAATGTGTACTCTTGATGATGTCTATTGTAATGTTTTGCTTTACATTTAATTTGTTTTATATACACTATTACTATCATTGGTTTTAATTGCGGTTTATAGTATGTAGCATATACGACATATATGTACATGATGACCTTTGTGAGATTGGGATTTGGGAGTGGTTGTCAGATTGCTCCTCCTCATCCTGACATACGTGTGTGTGTGTGTGTGTGTGTGTGTGCGTGTGTTTGTGCTGTGTATACTAACAGTGGCAGTAGTATATATAGTGTTGACTGACTCAACTACCTGTTACTTGTATTGCAGAGAAAGCCATAATAATTCCTGGTAGTTAGAATACAGTGAATATGTCCTCTCAGAGTAAGTTATAGGTATAGTTTACATAAAGTGTGCTTACTAAGAACATTTTACCCACAGAGACACCTTATCAAGGACCTGGTAGAGTGTTTGGTGATTTTCGTTGCTCAAAGTGCAATCGTACATGGAGCAGTGGTAATTCATGGGCAAACATGGGACAAAAGTGTTTGAAATGTGACATTATGGTTTACCCCTACCAACAGGTAAGGAAACAATCAGCCCTCTTATGATTGACACACCTCTATGTATATTTATACACAAAGCGTCCTCTTCTTAAAAGAGATAAAGATGAAGAAGACTATTTGTATGATTCTGGTGCTCCCCACCTCTCCCATCTTTGTGAGAAATGCAAGAGGCTCGGATACAACTGTCGGGGAGGATCCCGAGGAGGATTTTCCTATGATTTTGACTATTAATTCAGCTAATTATCACGCTAAAAGTTACAAAGACTTTGCTGTGTTTGAGTTAGCAAGAGTGATTTGTATCATGTCTATGCCTATTGTGTACTTTGTATTGAAATGTGTTTTTTTCATTTTGTAAACAAACTGCAAGGTCATTGTGTTGACTTCATGGAATTAAAGTATACATTATGTAGCACAGGGACTGGGACTATCCCTCAGTCTATCCCTTCAATAATACAATAAAGATGGAATGATGGTGCAGTGATCAGTGCCCATCACTTTGTATGCCAACACATTCACTGTGTCATACTATACTACAAGCTGGGACTTCCCCATTGATTGAATGCACCACCTCCTTAACATTGAATTGTGTACAATCATTGTTATTGTTCGTTCACATTAAAATATGCACTAATATGATTTGAGGACAAAAAAACATTTATAGCATGGATCATAAATTATAATTTTTACAGTGCACATCACCACAATGGCATGCCATAGTAGTACTAAGAGTATATTCAATAAACATACAATCTAGCTATAACCTTATGTCCTTATAGAGTGTGAATACCAGAAATGACGTTATAAAATTGCTATGCTGAGTCATTGCTGATAATTCTTAGGAACTTATTGTAGAACATATGGCTAACCGAGGACAAAAGTGTAAGCTGTAATTATTATTATAGGAAGTTGTATGAAGAGTACTATTGTCTTTCTATTATGTATAGTGACACCTTACCAAGGAAAGAAGAGGGCATTTGGTGAATTTGAGTGTTATTGTAGCAATACCTGGAGTAGTGCTTATACTTATGCTAATACATGGCAAAAGTGTGAGGTGTGCAAAAGGAAAATTTATCCTTATCGTCAAGTAAAATCTCATCTGTATCTATGCTATGACATTTGAGATTTGTAGTACCCACTACGACGTGGCAGAAATAATTCAAGAAGACCTCATCAGAGGGGTCTGTGTGGAAAATGCAAGCAACTTGGATATGACTGTAGCAAATGAAGTCTAAATGATATAAGAAGCATTTGACACCACATATAGTAGAATAATGTGCTTTGTCATCAATTATAAACATGATTGTGTTTATAATTGTACTTTTGAGTAAACATTATTCATTCTTTCCTTCACTAAACTGTTTATACAGTAAGACAATCAATTTGAAGAATGAACTGATGAGAGCAAATATGGTAATATATAAGGAGGCGGCTACTGACAGTGACATTTGAGGAACTACTTCTCTTTTTGTGGTTGGAGTAATAACACGCTGCAGCCTCACTGAATTATGGCGACATGTGAAAGTAAGGCCAATGTAGTATAGCAGACTAAGGTCTTCTTAGGAAATAAAACAAAGAGTTTATGTCACAACTACCTTGCTTGCTTATTATACAGGCATTGAAAGGTTGAACCATTAACTTACTAATTGGAATGTTGTCAACATAGATGCTAATTAATAAATTTAATGA